CACCACCATGGAAACCGTCACCTCCACACCACCATGGAAACCGTCACCTCCACCAGCACCACACATCCTGCCCTCCCTGCCTCAACCTGGCCTCACGTACTTGGGTTCATTTACATTCAGGGGTGTCCCATCTTCAGTGATCAAAGTCCTGGGCGGTTTCACTTTCTTCTTCTTTTCACTTGAGGAAAAAAGGGTGGGGGTGGGGGACAGAGAGAAAAGTAAAATGATTATGGAAGTTCTTATAGATTTCTAAGAGCTTTCCTGTTCTTTCCATTTCTCCCTCTTAGTCAATTACACAGGAAGGGTTACTGTGTTTTGCTCATGTTACTGCCATGCAGACTGTTGAATTTCAAAACTAACTGATCACACACTAGAGCTCCTGACTTGTACGTGTTCCCAGGAGTGAGACTTCTCATGTATCTGACATAAGCAGTAACATGGGCTGGAATGACAGCCTGTCTTTACAGGAACTACTCTGGAAATAATAGCTTAAGCATTCTAGCTTCTGTGAGGTCATCATGTTATAGCTGACCAATTTAAAAGGGACAGTGTATTCTGAAATGGCCAAACCAGTTGTATTAGGAAAACAAAATGCCCAATGAAACTAATATCTAATTATTAATTTTGCAAATTAAAAATGCAAAGAAACTCACTCATCCCACAAAGTAGTCTTTTCCTGTATCATGATTCCTATGGTCACTAACCCAGGCTATAGGGGGACTGGGTACACTTAAATTGCTTTAAAAGCCAAGGACATTTAAACAATTCGTGATATACCAAAGAAGATAGCTGGACGTTAATAAATGGCAGCAGACACCACGAAAAGCTGAGCCTGAAGTCTCAGTGCAGAGTGGTGGCACAGCGTGAACACAGAATGCAGGTGAAAGAAGTTCGATGATGAAAACACATCCCATGAGGGCACGATGCCACCCTGGCAACCACAGGAGAAAGCGGGGCTACCTTGATCGTTCTCGGTCTCTTCGTTGTTTTTCCATATGTCTAAGCGTCTCCAGTCTGGATTCAGGCGTGAACAGAGAGGGTTTATTCCAGAACTCCAAGTCCTCTTGGTTGTTGTCTGGCTTCTTTCTGTTGTGTCCTTCTGGTGCTCCCGGCATCTGTGAGTGCTCGTTGCTCTCCATCCAGGAAGAGCTGGAAAAGAACGGACGCGGCCTCGCATCTCACACTGCTCTCTCATCTTCCTGCCTTTGAGTGGCTTGTGGGTCTGAAAGAGCCTCCGCGCTAGGCTGAGGGTTTGCAGCCCAGCCCCTGGCTGGGCCTCCTCATCTAGCCCTGCAAGCATGCCTCTGTGCAGATCCCAGGCCCTCAGCCCTGGGTGATGTCATCCCGAGCTTCATGGAGAGTCCAGATTCCCAGGATCCCGCCGTTCTATTCAGGAGCTTGGGGCAGGGCAGGAATCTGGGTTTTACATATTTTGCAGGAAGTTCTGTAGACCAAATGAGCCTGGGGACCCCAGGGCCTTAGCAACCGCCCCCCACCCCATCTCCAATTTTTACCTCCCCAGTTCTAGCCCCCACAGTGCTCCCAGGGACTCTTTCTAACAGGAAGACTTAGTCTATTCACTCCAGGTTCTTTAGTGATTCTCCACCTCGTCTGTCTAGGGCGATGTATGGGATTTTCCACCATCTAACTTGTGCCTACTCCATTTCTCATGGACAACTTTTGATTTTGAAGATTTATTTGGTAACCTAAAAAATTCTGTTCTCTTTTTAACCATGATTTGTGGACTGAGAGAGAAATTAACGATGTCTCCACATGGCATCAAAGGGTGCATAGGAGATAGTCAGTAGTTCACTAGGGATTCAAGAAATATCTATGGAGAATCGTCGGTGGGCTGGATAGTTAAGATGGCCCCAGTCTAGACGGACAGCGACACTGCTTTCAGGAGAGTCCCAGCAGAATATGACATCAGGTAGAGACTCTTTCCCCTCACTTCATTTCAGAACACACACAGTCAGTTACTAAGTGACAGCAAAAGGAAAAAAATCTATAGGAAGTCTTTAGTACAAAGTGCATGAATAGTAAGTACTCGTTAGATGTTAGGTTTTATTGTCGCAACTGAAATGAGAGGACAGGAAGTCTCATTTAGTTGACCTTCAAATAAGACCCTTTTTGAAGGGATGGGCTGAAAGGTATCAGGGCATGAAATTTTAAAGGCATAAATAGAACATAGAGAACAATTTTGCTTAGATTCACTACATTATTATAACATGCAGTTAGTTTAATAAGCAAAATAATGCAAATTGCTAAAAATAAATGCTTTGCCATATAGCCATAGCTCTTAATGGCATTATAAAGGCAATCCTATAAGATGCTCTCTAACATTCTATAATATTCTAGCTAATCATCACTGAAATAATTGGCTTCACTCACATTTAAAAGAATTTATCTTTGTTGAAAAGTGACCAATGGGCTACTTTTAAAGTTTACAACCTAAAAATAGCATAATAATTTTTTTTTAACTGCACTTATGGAAAACTACAATAGCAGCACCAACATGAGTCCCCAAAGGCAAAATGCACGTAAATATGTGTCACTAGCTAATGAAAATATTGAAATCATTGGATATGAACAAAAAGGTCGCTCTTCAAACCACCTCAAACATTCTCTCAGAATTCTTCTGCTCACGAGCAGGTCTCCAGGCATGCTTAAGAACAATCCCACCTCAGCTAAAACTCACTTTCAGGAACTAAAAGTTCTACAGTTTAAATACAACTTCAGACTCACATCCGGATAGAAGCTCTCCTCCTCCCCTGCACCGGCTCCCCTCCCCTGTTCAAGATTGGGCTGGGCGTGGGGAGAGAGGAAAGGGCCCCTCATCCCTCAGTCTCATTGCTCCCTCTCGCTGCACCCCATCACTGAGACTCTCACGCTCCCCCTGCCTTCAGAAATGTGGGCCTGGGAGGATGAATGGGGAAGAGACAAACGTCTCCGGTGATACACGTGGTGCTAAAGCTTGGCTGTGATACGCTCTCTGGAGCTGATGCTCTGCTACTGGCCACCGGCTTTCTCTGTGAGCACATCTGTGGGATGCTGGAGACACCGAAGAGCCTCCTTCCCTGTCAGAGTCAATGCACAACCTGGCTGGTCATTTTGCCAACACCCAGCTCCTGTCACTCATGGCCCACCCCATGCACTGCCGTAACTCCACGACCCTTGAGCAGCACGCCCTCAAGACAGCTCAAGCACAATGCCTTCTTCCATGGGATAGTTGCACGTGCTTTCCATACACGAGGTTTAAAGTGTGACCTGGCTCCCTCTATGCCTTTGTTCCCGACCTCCTGCTCTATCCAGGCTGTTGCAGGATCCAGCTCAATCCTCAAGTGCTGAGGTGCTCATCGCCTCTTCCTGTTGGGGTTTCTCCTTGCAGCCTGGAGCCGCATATCACTTCTCCGGTCAACAACTCGTTACTCGGGGACACTTGTTAAGACTGTCTTGCTGTCTGTGCAAACAGGCTGAAAGGAGTGATAGGGATGATGGACAAGGACCAGCTGAGGGTTGGGGGAGGCAAACAGGTCCCTGCAAAAACTCAACTGATGCTTCTCCTAACAGGCAAGAAAGAGATGATTTTTAACTTTCGTAAGCCAAGAAGGAAACATGATTTTACATTTTACAGCACATTTTACATGTCTGTGACCACTTTGATGCAAACATCATGAAAAATACAGTGAAAAAAGTGTACTGCAGCAGAAACTCATTTAGGATCATAGACCTGAATACTATAAATAAAATATTAGTAAGCTGAATGCAGCAATGCAGTAAGCTTTATTCTAGAAATTCAAGGATAGTTTAATATTGGAAAATGTGCTAGTGTGATTCAATACATTAACAGAAAAAACATGATTATAGATACTTAGAAGTAAATACAGAAAAAAACAAAAGCCAAGTATCTATTATGATTTAAAGCTCTTCATTAACTTGGACTAAAGGAAAACTTACTTCATTTTACTAAAACCCCATAACAAATACTACTCTTGAAGATGAGGCATGGAGATACAGCTTTAAAAATAAAGTACAAGGTACAGATACTCAATGTTATTGCTATATTCTACTCCATGCCGAAGACTTTGGAAGACACCATTTTTAAAAATGCATAGCAGAGGCAGAAGGATTTGAAAAGGTTTTTTAAGTTGTTCTATATAAAAAAATGTGTTTTCTCGAGAGAAAATACAAGATAATCTATAGGCTCACTATTGAATTTTTTTAAAGGTCAGTAAAATCACTTGATATCAGTACACAGAAATCAGTACACAGAAAATCATTCATCTCTTTATGCATCAGCAAGAACCAATTACAAGTCTATTTTTAAAATCCCATTCTGCAGATACTTAGAAATAAATCTAATAAAAGATGATGTAAGACCTTTATAGAGAAAATTACACAACCTTATTGAGGGACTCAGAAGAAGTTCTAAATAAATAGGGAGCAATTCTAAAGTTCAGCAAGGAAAGAATCAAAGTCATGAAGATGTCAACTTTCCCCTCATTATCATATAAATTAAATGCAATTTCAGTCAAACTCACACTAGGGATGTGGTGGGGGGGATTTGCATAGCAGTTCTAAAATTTTTATAGAAGAGTAAAACCTAAGAATAGTCAATATAATTTTGAAAAATGAGAATATTGCATATCAAATATCAAGATTTACATAAATCTACAGAAGGGCCCCCATGCAGCAGCCTGGGCACACAGAGGGGCTTGGGAACTCCCAAGCGAGGGTCCCGGGTCCATGATGAGGTGACCTTGGAGCTCTGAAGAAGTAAAGCACCTTCATGAATGGTGCAGAGACAACAAGCTACCTCATGGGAAAAGATTAGTCCCCTGCTCTGCGCGATAACCAAAGGTTCATTCCAGACAGACTTGACATGGGGGAACAAAAAAACTTCATGCATAAAGCCAAAAAGTATAAAAACAAGTAACTGTATTAGTGTTTTTGAATTCTGCAAGATTCAATACAATTAAAGACAAGTCAAGAACGGAGGGCAGGTATTTGCCAAGCACATAATCATGAAAAAAAAAATTGCATCTGGAATATAAAAGAACAACAAATCAATAAAAAAAAAATCCTTATAACTTATTTAAAATGGGCAGACCGCCTGAACAGAAGAAAGCTGAACGCCAATACAGGAAGCTGTTGCCATCACAAAATATTAAAACTCACTAGTGATTCTAGAAGTGGGACTCAAATAAAGCATTAGGTGCTATTTAACAACCAAGTGGACTGACCAGTCACATAAAATACCACATTATCTGGGACTGGCAGGAACACCAGTGTCCTGAATCTAAGTCAGGGCAGTCTGGAGAGTGGAGAGCCGCCAGGCGAGAGCGAGAGGATGTGCTTAATGACGAGGGGGCAAGGGCATTGCTGGGCACCCTGGGAAACCTTCCTACCTCCATGTGCAATGCTGTGTGAATAAATACAATGTAGGGGACCCCAAGAGGCCCCCCAAGGGGAAATGGCAGCACCACGGCCGCTCTTCAGATGGCAGCTCCGAGCAGGGCCAGGAAGGCTGTCAGAGCCAGCGAGATTCCGAGGCCAAGGAGTCACCAGTCGCTACGTTTGAACGTCACCTCTTGGATAAATTGTGATTTATCCTTCCCACAGAATTGGAGTGAATGCACTAGATGTCTTCCCAGGCATAAATCGCGGGGATACAATGTTGAATGAAAAGTAAGGCTGCGGAAAGATGCCATTCCTGCCAGAAAGACACACACACAGCCACTCTTGCTAAAGGCGGCAAGTTATGTAGTGAATTCACTGCAAATAGGGATGGCCTCAAGATGGCGGCCCTTCTCCTGATGGAAGGAGAAGCAGAATGGGAAGAAATATTTCGGGACTTTTACTCCACTTATTCCATTGATGATCTCCTATTTCTATTTTTAAACTATCCAGAACATGGAAAGTATTGACATTTATAAATAAGAACGACAGTTGTTGATTTTTTTAACATCTATATATATCTGAGATTGTTTATAATTATTATTTTCTCAAGCTTAAAAAATTCCATTATAAAAATATTTAATTTTTTCACGGTATGGAAATAAATCAACTGAGTCTACTCGCAATTCATTTAAAAATAAACAAGACCGAAAAATGCATGTTTGTAAAAAGGGACAATTAGGCTTATTAATCACATTAAAAATGTATTCATGATGTAATTTACATCACAGAACATTTTATGATGCAATCAAAATTATTCAATTTATCATAATGTGATTTGCATTTAACTTTTCTAAAATATTCCTCCTTTACAAACCAACCCACACCTGTTAATTCATCTTCCCTGTGCATCTTCGAGAGGGATTTGTCTGAGGATAATTTAAGATGCAAATTCAAGTTGCTAGTTTGAAAGGACATTTTTTTTCCTAAGAGAGGAAAGTCTGGCGGAATTGTCGCAAACAATGGGGTACTCAAAGTGTCCCCCCAATTCACTGCAGAACGTATCCTTTAAATTCATTGTCTGGAGCTTAAGTGGAATGATGAACTTCCTGGAAAGAGCGCGTGACTCGCCCCTTTAAACACAGGTTACTGGAAAGCAATGGCTGTAACTTACGTATGAGTGCTGCCAATGTCCCCTGGCTCGGGGTCCCTGCAGTCTGAGGGACGCCTCTCCTCCTCCATTTCATGCTCTTGCTGTTTCCTCTGAGCATCTTCCTTTTCTTTGGCTCGTTTGAGGCAGTAAGTTTCCTCCTGCTTTCTGATTTGTGGCTCAATTTCTGGAAAGTTCTGCAAGGCCTGGATCCTTTCTGAGCGCTCTATTTCTTTACCATCCAGCCACTTGCATTAGAAACAAAAAACAAAAAAACACTGACCTAGGTCAATTATTCAAAAGCTACGATTTGAATCAGCCTTGGCTGGCTTGGATGGCTGTGAGAGGCCCCTGCCTGACTCTACATTTTAACTTCCCCAGCAGGAGCATTGGGTGCCAAGACAATGTCCTGAGAATGCGTGGGGCTGGGGAATTCAATGACGAACTCCCGAAAGAGTAGTTCTCTAACTGTCCATCAGGTAAAGGACTTAGATGCTGCAAGTCAAGTCAAAGCTCCAAAATCAAACAAGCACACTCCCCAAGGGCTCCCTACAACAGAGGGCCTCGTGGACAGTCATCAGTCCAAATACAGATCACTGCCGTTCTGCCCTTGAAAGCAGGACACACAGAGGTCCCAGTGATTGCAGTCAGTTTATATCTGCTGTCTCTCTACTTGTTTTCCAAAGGATGGCATTTTCTCACCCCCAGGAAGATGATCTTACATGGCAAAAGGGACTCTGCAGTTGTGGTTAAACTAAGGATTTTAAAATTGTACATTATCCTGGGTTACAGGTTTGGCCCTGAGGGATGCCAGAGGAGAGCCACGAGCAGTGAAAATGAGGGTGAAACACACCAAGCTTGAGGACAGCACAGAGGATGAGTCAAGAGAAAGCTATGACAAACACGAACCAGAGGCCACTCCGAAACCCACGCTTTGCATTTGTTCTTCATGATGATGATGAATGTGCTTTGTACCAATGATTTGAACTCACCAAAAAAGAATTAAACGAAGCTCGGTGCTTTCTGAGTAAGGAAAAAAAAAATGCCATTCATTTTAAAAAAGATTTATCAACACTATGAAAACAGCTTTAAAGATTCAGAGAGTCAAAGAATCAGTTTTGATTCTTTGATTCCATGCTGCATCACAATATTCCATATGAAGCAACAGATTCCCTGACAACTTTGTGACTAAAGGAATGCTTGTCCTTTCTGGAATGTTTGTTTTACTCTCTCCGAGCTGTCTGCATCATTCAGACTGGCCTACCTTGAGTTGCTGGAGAATCGCCACCACGAAAGGCCTGTAGCCGTCAAAGTCAGCACATGGGTTACCCATGAGGAAAAGCTCTTTGAGGTGGATGTTGTGCTGAAGGGACTTGACGCTGCTCAGCTCTCCAATGAAGTTTACTGTCAAGTCAAGTTTCGTCAGCCCTTCACATCCTGTTAAGAGAAATGAAGAAAAACTAAGGCACGAGCACCCCTATCTGCAAAGTCACCCTGAAGAGGCAGCACAGATCCAGGACCACCAAGAACTGACCCAAAGGACCAACAAAGTGAGTAGGCAGTCTGGTCTTCCAGGAGCAACAGGGAGAAGGATGAGGGACGGAAGCCCGTAGGCCTGACCCAGGCTCCTTCCTTAAGAGAGCTGGACACTGTAGAAACCAGAGTCAAATTCGCAGGCGGAGGGCACCCGCTCTCAGTCCCTGGGAACCTGGGGGTCAGGATTGCAGCCTTTGGGGTTAGATGGGCCTAACCATCCAGTGGGCTCCCACACTATTTCCAAATGCCTGTAAGACACACCAGGGGGCCCCGTCTCCAGCTGCAGCCCCTACCTGCAGAAGAAATGAGGGGAGTTGAGAGTAGTTACCTAGAGGGAACAAGAATCAGGGTTTGGAGAACTGTTTTCCAGCCTAAGTAGAACTTGCAATTTGGCTTTTTATAGTCTGCATTGCATTGCTATGGCAAAATGCTTATTATTAAAAAGATGAAAATCCAAAAATATATAGGAAGGAATAAACACCCGTATATTCAACACTTTACTACATGGGGGACGGGTAGAATTCATTAGCTTTGCACCTTTTAAAAATAAACAAAAATAAACATATAAATGAAAAAGGAAACTTCCAAATCACTATTCCTATTAAATTAGCAAAAATATCAACAAAAATGTTTAATTATACTAGCAAGATCTGAGCTAACAACGATGCTTGTCAGCGTTCAATCTGACAAAACATTAAGTAGGCATGTAAAGGTTTTTTTCTCCCTAGATCCAGAATTTCATCTGGGAGGAAAGTCTCCAATCAATAGCTCAAGTAGAAACAGAGCTAATTTGCCCAAAGCTGTTTGGAACAGTCCTAGTCACAACAGCAAACATAATTCTAAATGTTTTAAGCACCAAACAGTAAGTCATTGCAAACACACCAATGTACTGGATAATTCAGTCATTAAGTCATAAACATGTGTTCTCAGCCATGACATGAAGAATGTAAATGAAAACTATATAAATATCATTGATTTTACATTTCCATATTTGTATTTTTAAATTGCCAAAAAAGAAGGCTAGAGGAAAGATTCTAGACACATCTTAATGATGTTTTTTGTTTCATGTAAGAAGAGGCTGACTCTTGAAAGACCCTAAGTCAAAAATTCATGTTATTTTAAATTTTTGCTGTGCATCAGTAGATGAAGGACTTTCTAGCTGTTCATTATATTTTTCAGAGTGATGAACCTTAATTTTTCTTTCACTTGTTTGGCACAAAAGAAATCAACTACATTTGCCCTTCTAAGGAATGGCTTGCTGAACAAGCTGGCATTAGGAAACTCCGTTTGGAGAGAGACATAACTTCCTTCCAGCAAGCTCCATCCTCCACCTCCCATTCTGCATAGATCAAGCTCAGTGATCCACAAGTCACTGAGGACACTGAAGTCAACGACACTGATTTCCCAAGGGGGAACGTTCGCAGTAGCAGAAACCCCATCTCTCTCTATAGGTTAGAGGAAAAAGGGAGGAGGGTGAGGAAAGCAGCAGCTTTAGTCTGGCCTGGTGAATCCGCAACAGGGAAAAATGGATGCTAGCTATTTTTTTTCCATCCAGCAAAGCAAACAAAAACTCTAATTTATTGTTAAAATTAACTTGATATTGGGCTCTCCCTGGTGATACAACTGTTAAGGCACAGCCCTGTGAAGGCACAGCCCTGTGAAGGCACAGCCCTGTGAAGCTGACTGCAGCTGCCTCAGCACAAATTCGATCCCCGGCCAAGGAGGTGACCCACATAGCGCAGCAGACCTCTCTCATCTCGCCTGCTGCTCCCCTCAGCAGTGTAATTCTCAATCTGCCTGTTCTGCTCCCCAGTCTGTCTCTGGTGAATCCTCTCTCCACCTCTGCACCTCTGGCCAGTACCCCAGTTCTGTATGCATAAGTAAAAAAATCTTTAAAAAAAGTAACTTAAGATTTACATAAATAGGTGGGCAGAATACGTATGTCCGTTATCCTCTCTCACCTCAAACCTTTAAAATTAAACAAAATTTTTTGTTTACATATTTGTCAGCAGATAAATGCATCTTCTCTCCCTACTGCCTACTCCACAAACATACTCTTACACCCCCGGGTGCCCGGTGCCTCTGTACCTGAACTGGAAGGTGGAACATCAAAAGGAAGAAGTGCCCGGGTAAACAACTTGAGGTGGCCTCCACAGGCCAAGTAGTCAGAGCTCAAACACACAACAGTGACGATGCTGCCCTCTAGCGGTGGATGAGCAAAATGGACTTCAAACAGAGCTCTCCACATCCTTTAAGATTCTTTCTTAACAAAAATAACAAGCCATGAAATAACCAATTGAGAGTAAGTGTTGTTGATCCTCATCTGATAGCTTGTTACAACAGAATACGGACACAGGGTAAATTTTGTCATTCTATGTGTTTGCATGCACAGTGGTAGATGGAAGGGGGTCACCACTCCATTCCAGTGCAGAAATGCCAGGGATGAGAAGAATCATCTCAATTCTAGCACTGATGGTGATTTCAGAGCCTTGGTAGTGAGGATATTCTGACTGTTATGGATGAAAATTTGAAACATGAATATTCACGTCTTTGCTAATCTACGATCTCTATAGTCACTGGCATGCCAATTTCTACACTAGGAGGAATATCGGCTAACATTTTCTATAACCTAAGGAAAGGAAAGTCCTCCTAATTTTAGCTATCAGCAGACGGGAGTAGGTTGGGAAGAGCAGCTTGTCTGCCTCTGCTCCGTGCCCCTGCTCTAAAGTAAATCCTGCCAGCCAGCAAGTCTGCCCACTCACACAGAGCCCACGGCTGCCCTGCCTTCTCAGTGAGAGGCAGGATGTGGAAACAGTACCGTACAAATGCAGAATAAGCCCACACCAGCCACCTAATCAGCCAAATCCTTGGTGAATATAATCAGACACCAGGCATTTGGGAGGAAATAACAGCATGAGATAGAAGCATGGAAAGTAGCACAGGAAATCGTTGAGAATGTAGAACTAAAGACAGAGGTTTAAATAAGGAACACAGTTTAAAAGACATGGAAGTTCAGTCTAGCACAACCAAAAATCACTTAGAAAGTTCTAGGGAAGATCAGGGGAAGTGAAGAAAAGAAAGTTATTGTCGAAGATAAAGATAGATCAGTAGGTAACTAGGTAGGTAAGAAGGTAGGTAGATAAGCTGATAAAGGAAGGAAGAACTTTTAAAAAGAAAGTAAAAACAAGGCCAATCAAGGATTCTATATCTGTGAAAACTATCTGGAAAAATTAAGATATTTCTAGATAAACAAAAACTGAGGATATTTCGTGTTAGTAAATCTGTCCCAAAAGAAATATTAAAGGGAGTCTCTCAGGCTGAAATGAAATGACATTAGAGAATAATTTGAATTCCTACTAAAGTAAATAAGGCACATCAGTAAGGTAAATACAGAGGTTTTGAAATAAAAGGCAGAATAAACATATGTGTGTGGTGGACACACAGGCATAAATAAGCAATTTTTGATAACAGAAACATAAAGGTAGGCAGGAAAACAAAAGTATCTAGGAGCAAATTTTTTTAAAACATCATTTTGAACTAAAGTATTATAAATTAAGATGTTAATTGTAATCTCAATATCTAAAAATAAGGAAACAACCCAAAATATATAAAGCAAACAACAGATAATGAAAATGGTTTACAAGAAAATGCCTATCTACAAAAATTAAAAAATATAATACAGAAACAGAGAGTAAGAGGTGTAGGATATATAGACAACACATAGCAAAGTAACACACACAGTCTATCTTATCGGTAAGTACAGTAGTGTAAATAGATTAATCTCTCTCAAATAGATTTTAAAAAATGATGCATTTTAGAATCAACACACAAACACTAAGAAAGTTAAAGGATAAAAAAAGTTATAGACCAAACAGTAACCGCATCAAATACGTGCAGACTTTTGAATGCCAATTATATCTCAATAAAGCCATCGTGAAAAAGAATCACTCCGCTTCAAAGGATATCAACCAAAGAGTTGGCAAGAAAACTCACAAATTTAGGGATTATATCTACAAATTACCTCTCCGTTCATAATGAGTGAATGAATGTTGAAGAGGATGTGGAGCAGTGGAACCCTTAGAAATTGCAGGAGGAAATGCAAAATGATGCAACCACTTGGGGAAACTGGTTAGTGGTTCTACAAAAACTTAAACAAATGACCCAACAACTCCTATCCCACTTTTACACTAAGTGAACTGAAGACAGAAATTCAAACACTTGAACATCAATGTTCACAGCTGTTTTATTCAAATAAACCAAAACAACCCAAAGGTCTATCAACTCAGAGTTGAGTAATCAACTGTGGTGCATTCATGGAGTGGGGCATCATTCAGCCAACACTGAAGTGAAGTACTGATATGTCCACACCATGGATGGGCCCTGAAAACAGCATGCTATGGACACAGGAAACCACATACTGTGCAATTCATTTACGTTAAAAAGTTCATGACAGGGACATCAGTGGAGATGGCTGTAGAGGTGTGGTTTTAGGGGCTAGTATAGACAAGGGCCAAGGAGTGGGTGCTATTGGATACGGGTTTTATTTTGGGGTGAGGAAAACATTCTGGAATTGGAGAATAATACAGCCATAGGAATATACATGAACCTGTCAAACTGTATATTTAAAATGATGAATTTCATATGTGAATTATATTTCAAACTTTAAAAAGTGGTTCATACATTTCAATTAAGAAGCTTTTTGAGAAAAAAAAAAGCATCTTTGATTCTTTTTTCACATGATAAATTTGAGATGTTCAAATTTATTTGAGTTAGATTACGGAACAAGTAAAATCATTAATATGAAAATACATTAGTTATTCTAAAACTATGCAGAAAAAAGATAAATGCACTTGAGTATACTAACATGTAAGACTTCTGAATGATACTGGAATCCTATGTGGAATTAAAGAAAAGCAGTGCACTCAAGAGACAATATTGAACTCATATCACAAAGAATTAATATCTGGTATGTGTAACAGCACATCAAAAAAAAATAAAATAAAATAAAAATAAAGCAGTAGGAAAGTGACCAAAGCATATAAAGTAGTAAAACCAAACACAAGTCTTCAATAAACGCCTGCAATGTTAAAAGGGAGTTCAGTAATAGTAAGGTGTAAATATTAAAACACTTTTAGACTCAGTGTCTTCGAAAATGTGCCCGTAGTTGTGTAAATGTGGGTACTCACATGGACTCTGAGTACAATGTAACTTGACACAATCCTTTTGGGCACCAATTTGGCAGTATTTTTTAACACGTGTGTGTTAAAACCCAGGGACTCCATTTCTAAGTGTTCACTCCCGGAGGAAAACATCCATTTGCGTACAGAGAAGAGTGTGGCAGGGCGCTCCCTGGAGCCCTGCAGACTGTAGCAAGAGGCTGCACGGCCCACGTGTCCCTACACACGACAGTGGCTGATGACCCAGGCTACAGTCATTCCGTTACACAGCACACACCTTCCCTGGGGAGTGAAAGAACCGGGAATTGCATGGAGCAGATTTACATTTGAAACAGCTTTCAGAGTAGGAGCTCATGCTTACCAAGCAAAATGAAACAAAACTGCCTTCTGCACGCCAAAGCGTTGAGATCATTACTAGCTAGAAGGAAGACGGGTGAGGACGGAGTAAAGCAGGCTTCCAGTCTAGAATGTATGTGTCTCGCTATGTGATTTTTTTTTAAAAGATTTATTTATTTATGCATACAGAACTGAGGGGTACAGGCCAGAGGTGCAGGGGTGGCGATAGGCTTCACCAGAGACAGAGTGGGGAGCAGAACAGGCAGAGTGACTGAAATACACTGCTGAGGGGAGCAGCGGGCGGGTCAGGAGAGGTCTGCCTCGCCATGTGGTCTCCTCCGGGGCAGGCGGGAATCGAACTCATGCGAAGTGGCTTTAGCTTCTCAGTGCTGTGCTTTAACCCACTGCGCCACCAGGGAGGGCCACTATGTGATTTTTTTTTTTTTATAGTAAGCATTACATACAACGTAAAGGAGTGGGTGCTATTGGATGTGGGTTAAAACTGTTCATCTGAATGGTCTGCCGACTGTGTAAGTCACAGGTAAATCTAACGTTAAGTCTCAACTTGAAGTCATCAGAAAATTCTTACCTTCCAAGTTTTCGATTTTTTCGATGTTGTTTAAAGCTAAATTCAAATATTCAAGTTTCTTGAGTTTGCCAACATTTTCTGAAATAAACAAGTAAAGTAATCAATAACCTCTGGAAAAAAAAGCTATTTTGCATATTCTGCTGTGAAGATGATGATGAAAGCCTACGGCGTACGCTGGCTGTCAAAACTGTGCTGCTCTTGCAAATCTTACGTGTCCCTCTGACACTGTTGTGCACATGCAGCACCCATTTCTCCCTCCCTCGTTCCTCAGGACTCAGCTCTGGAAAGTCATCTCTCCAGCCCCTACTCCAGGGTGAGGCCAAGGCAGCGGGGCCAGGGCATGGTGCTCCCTTGTGCCTGTGGGCCACAGTGCAGGAGCCCAGGCTGAAGTCACGTGCTCGGGGCCCCTCCTGGCAACTGTGTGAAGCCCAGGGGCAGGCGCACATCCGCTCCATGGCCACAGAGGGAAAGACCCATAGTCCGTGTTTGGGGTTTCCTTTCTCTCCTTCCCCACCGGATGTTCAAAAGGAAGGATGTACTCTCCCTACAGACACTCGCAGCTACAGGACGGATGCTCTGTGGCGGTGGGCCTCTGCACACTCACAACGAGGTAAGACACTCGTTTTCCTGGCTGGTAAACCGCACTGAGTTGGATTTGCCTTTACTTGAAGCTGGAATCATCTTGCCACAGGATGACTGTACTGAATAAACATGAAAGCCCATGCTGGCGAAACCGCAGCATGGAGAAGTCAAGGGGTTGCTGTCGGACAGGCCTTCTCAAGGCAGCGAATACTAACTGCTGCTATGGCCGGGGGCTTATTTCAGGCCACGTCATTTTCTGAACATTCTGCCTATTTTTTCTTATTTAATCCTTATTTAATCCCCATTAGACATCCTTTTTTTTTTTTTCACCTTTTACAAATGAGAATGCTAAGATAGGGAGACATAATCTACTTGCTCGAAGTTAAGTGGGACAGCCGGGAAGCTGGACTCTAGGAAGTGACACTAGCTCGTTCCAGGAATAGTTGCAGGAATAGTTCTTGGTCTTTAGAGCCAGCAGGGGGAGAAGGAATGCAAAGGGAGTTGCATTTGGTGCAGGGCGCTGCCAGAATGTGAAGATGGCGCGTGAGGTTTCATAATCACCACCCTCATCATCACGATCATTTCGCCTAAAACGCACAAAATAGCAGGGACCTGAAAATCACAGTTTACCTCTCTGAGTCTTGGTTACTCAGTCTTAAAAATGAGAATTTGGGAGTTCATTAATTTGTTATTCTGAGTAATACTAATTACTTAATGCTAAGTACGATAGATGCTTGGAAGTACTATTAGAGATTACAAAGTCCTCGAGGCGAAGTTTGAGCAGTCACTAATTAACAGGCCTCTCTGTGCCAGGAGCTGTGCAGTCTCCAGTCTGCGTCCTGAACCAACGTAGGTAAGTTATTACTGGTAGAACTGCTGGTCGACAAGAAAATACCTGTTCCTTCCCCACATTTGTTTTACGTGTAATCCTCGAAACAGTCATGAGGTGAAAAGGCGGGTAGGATCTGTCGGGAAGGTTTCCTAAATCAACCCAGTGGCCAAGCCCACCAAGAGAAAGAGTTGCTCTGTGGACAGAGCCTGAGGTCCCCGCAGCACCGGTGAGCAGCCTCCCCACACCACCCTGGCGCAGGGTTGGCCCACTGCCACAGCCGGGCCTGCAGACTCCACTGGGAGCTGGGGCTCTGGGCTCCAGCCCAGCTGGGACTCACAGGGAGCAGTTCCAAGTGTAGACTCTGAGTGGGGCGCTCAGGCTCTGAATCAGGGGTGTGTGGAGTCAAGGAGACCCAGCCCCTGGCTGTCCTCTGCTCACACAGCACCACACAGTGCCTTGCCCACAGCTCCCCCAGGCCCTGAACTGGAAAGAAGGCGACTGTGTTTGTGGACGCCCCTCCATGGCAAAGGAGATAGTCTGGATCCTGGAGAGAGAGTTTTACTTGCTAAATAAGAGCCTAAATGCCTCGGGTGGAGTAGCATTGAAAATTCCATTATTAGGATTTAAAAGAGCGTTGAATTTAAGAATACTTTGGAAGGAAGAATGTAAGCTTCCTCCCAGCTCTGAAAAGGCCTGAAATACTATGCTACTAATTAGTCATTGTGATGGACCCAGCTGTGGAGATTAAAATTTCGGGAACTCTTTTAAATTGGTACAATTAGGACGACACTTTAATGTTCCCCTGCATAAAAGCTGGTGGGTTTCTATAACAGCCTTTTTAATTGAACAATATGCCAGAGCTTCTAGTTTCTGGTGAAAGTAAAAGATGCCAAAATTATCAGGAGACATACCAAGATTTTTAATAAACTTCCCAAAGTGATGCAAATTCTGGGTTTTTTGCAAGCTTAGAGCCAGATTTCAATTACTGATGAAATGGGGTGCAGCCACCTCGCTGGGCTTTCTCTGCCTCAGCAGCACTAACTTTTCGGGCCAGGCAAGTCTTTCTTGGGAGAGAAGAGGGTTCTGTGCATTCTAGGGTAGTAAGCAAAGTCCCTGATGTCTGCACACGACTTGCTAGAAAGAGCACTCCCGCCCCTCCAGACTTGGAACACCCAAAAGTGCCCCCAGATATTGCCAGTGGTCTGGTTTGAGAGTCAGTGGGCATCACCATGGATGGTTAAAATGCAACCTTGAGC